CCTGGTTACCTTGTAAGGCTTCCTGTAAGGCCGCTTCTTGGTTGATTGTGCTTGTGCGTCTCTCCTCTGCACCTAATCCCCTCCCCCTGATGCGAGCCAGTCCACACACATGCTCTCCATAGACCCTTCATCTGTTTCATCCTCTTGCATCAGGTTCACTTTCCACCACCCTATCCTTTGCTGTTTTTTTAGTACTTGATACGGATGGCGCATTTGTAGCACGGATTGCCTGTAAGAGACTACAAGCACTACGAGCAAAGTGGCAAAAGAGTAAACTTCGCTGCGATCCTGGTGACCTAAGAAAGATCGCCCTGTGACAAGATGACGACAACAAGACCCCACGTTGCCACGAGCCAGCCCCTATTTACGGGTGGGCTGGTTACTATGCAGGCTTCAGTTGAAATTCCTTTATCTCTCGCATGCCCCTTTGTGTTTGCCATTGCAGAAATCTCCTGCAGAATCGTCTGTATGGCTCCATCCCAATTGGCATCAGCAGAATTTCCAACCTGCAATACCTGTACAGCATCCTGCAAGCCCGTTGTTTTGTTCTGCCCTATCTTGAGCGCCTCTCGTTGATGCTAGTCCACACCCATGGCCTCCGTTAATCTCTCTTCCATTCCATTCTCTTGAATATATGGTCCATGTACCACCGCCACATGCTTATCTGTGTTCATTGTTGCAGGGATCTCACCAAAAATAATTTCCGCTTCTCGATCCCAGATGTATTGAGCAATCTTCAAGCACTCACATCCTTGTAAGACCTTCTGCAACATTGTTTTTTGGCTGCGCTCTGATCCACCTTCTGCACCCCTCCACTCTTCCACCACTTCTCCTACCCTCGAGGCTAGTCCGCAACAAGGCCTCCCACAATGTCAGTATATAAACACGTTTACACACTCAATGGCTACATATGCAGCATGCACAATCTCATATGCTGCTATGCTAGCCACTTCCATGGAATAACTGGCTTCCAATATCTACCTACCATGTGGCCGTTTGTCCATCGTTGCAGATCTCTCGCAGACAATAAGCTGTTTGGCTCCATTCCCGATGGAATCAGTAATTTTTCAAGACTGCGAAGCCTGTACGGTCTCCTGCAACGCAATTGCTTTATTCCCACCAGTTCTGCTCCTCTTGATGCCAGTCCTCACGCATGTTCTCTCTGTTGCTTCTTCTTCCATTGCATCCTCTCCTATTAAGTCCACTTATCACCACTACACATGCATGCACATATGTGTTCATTTTTGCAGATCCCTTTATAACAGTCAACTCAATGGCTCAATTCCTGCTGCAATCAGTGAACTTAGAACTCTCACAATGCTGTAAGGCGTCCTGCAAAGCTGTTGCTTGCCTGTCCTTTCTAACTTGTGCGCCCCTCCTCTCCACCGCTTCTCCTCTCCACCGCTTCTCGCCGTCTTGACACTTGTCCACACTGATGCTTTCCTTTCCATCCGTTCAATGGTCTCGTAGCAGCTCCACTTACCACCACCAGCACCAACAGTGCGCTTAAAGATGTTTCATCTGCTCTGATTATGTATGGTAACACACAAGGATTTTGGGGATGTTAAATCAGCTCAACGCATTGTGCCTTGTTTACTTAGACGCAAACTGCTTTGTCACGAAATGAAACGGAATTTGTTTGAAGCTCGAGTTCAGCTCAGACCGGATCGCATGAATATGCTGCTGTCTACACAGAATACGCTCCCTGTATCACATGCTCATTTGCGTTTATTGCTGCAGATTCCTCTCGGGCAATCAGCTGACGGGCTCAATCCCGGACGAACTCTACGAGCTTACGAACCTGCAAAGGCTGTAAAGCTTCCTGCAAAGCTCTCTTCCGTGCTCTCCCTCCCTTGTGCACGTATCCTCTCCGCTTCGTCTCCTCTCAATGCCAGCCCGCACCGATGTTCTCCATTGTCGGGTCCATTTAACTACCCGACCAGCACTCAGTCTAGTTAAATTGTGAGCTGGAGCTGGTTCTGCCCGAACCCATCCGGGACGGTTTGACTAGACCTGCCAATTCGGCCAAGTTTGACCCGAACCGGCTCAAGCTCGAATCTTCCTTGTGCCTACGCTGTGCTTCAGTGCTCTCCTGTTATTGTTGGCATACCAATCTGGTTGGCCCCTCTCTGCTTTTCTGTCTTTTCATTTCTTCCGTGCGAGCTTGAACCCTTCCTTTTTATGTACTGCATACGCGTTTCTTGTATATGTATCATTACAGGTATCTCAATGAGAATAAGCTCAATGGCACAGTTTCGCCTGCAATCGGCAATCTTGTGAATCTAGTGGCGCTGTAAGTCCCTTCTGGTTTGTTTCTGCCTTTTGTATTTCCCCTCGCCTCCACTCTTTAGCATTCCGATCATCTCCACTCCATCCCATCCATGCCCCTTCCTATGTTATGATCTTCTCTCCATCGAGGTAGTATGTGTGCGCCATGTGCAGTGAGTTATTAAGTATTAGGTTGGCAGACTCAAAGGATCAGGTATGGCGGGTTTGACCCCCGAGAGGAAATGTTTGGGGCGTTCTTGTGTGGTTCAACTTGCTGTTTACGGACTCTGGTCATTCATTCCTTTTGTGCACATTAAGCAATGAAGCAGGTTGCAACATGGGTATGCTTTCAGAGAGTTTGGATGTGGCTTTCAGCCATCGCTTTTAGCGCAGGGTCGCATGAGTCCCAAGTACCAACGCAGACCTCCACAGCTGCTCACAGCAGAGGAGTAAAAACGAGAAGCACCTTAGATCAAATTTACGTTGTCTGCAAGGAGACTGCCTCCCTCTTTTATTAACCTCATCTCTTCTGGAGATCGTCTGAAGCTTCTAGTGACTTCCTGGCCTTGTGCACATGTTCACACGTGGGTTAATTTTTTGTGTTTTTTTTGTGGCACTGCATGGCAGCTTCTTGCAGCAAAACGAGCTAGAAGGCAGCCTGCCAGAAACAATGTCTGCACTTGTGTCTCTCGCTAATCTGTGAGCCGCGTGAACCCCAGGCCTCTGATGCGTTAGCACTCCACATCGCACAGCGCACAATCGCTCCCGCGGTTTGGATCGCATCGAAGAGATTTGATGGTTGAAATTTTTGTTGCCCACCTGGTTGAACCAATTGGCGAGCCACATCAGATTGAGCCGGTTGAATGCGGTTTTTGGTTTTCTTCAAATCGGCCAGGTTCGACTTAGCAACTTGTGCGAGCTATTATCAAAAAAAAAAAAAATAGTATTGAAACTTGTTTTGAGATCTCAAATTTCTTCTTGACTCATAATATGTGTTTTTCAGCACTGCATTCTACCTCACAGCTTGTATGAAATAACTGTCTTATTGCATGTACAGACAGCTGGCGAAAAATCGTCTTAGCGGAACGATTCCTTCTAAAATTGGCAAGCTGGCTGCATTGAGTTATCTGTAAGTTGACACGCCATCCCATCCCACTGAAATAAAACCACTCGCAAGGAGACTGCAAGAAACGTGTCTAGCCTACTGAAGGATAGAAAAAAGTTGGGAACTTTTTTTAGCTTGATCGGGCCCCGTTCAACCCTTAGGGTCACCGTCCATGGAGACAAGCAGTGCTGCGGCTTGTGGACCCACATATAGTAATCCCAGATGGATCAGCCCTCCTGCGTGGTGCAGTTGTGCATGGCAAGGCACCGCTAGCGATTCTAGTCCATCTTGCTGCAAGTCGAGTCGAAAGCAAAATCTTGTTGCTCAGGTTGTTGCAAATGCGAGTCAAGAGGCGGCTCAGGCTCTTTCTCAGGCCTGCCATCCATCCCTTTCGACAATTGTCCGCCTTCACGCCCATCAGGTCACTTGCCTACAACCAGATCATTGGAAGCTTACCTGCCAGCCTCAGCAAACTGACAGACATGCAGACCCTGTACGATGCCAGCAAAAAAATCCACATGCGCCCTTCCACTCTTGCTCCTACTTATACGATTCTCATACATTTCTATACTCTTCCACACGCTTGTTCACCCCATCTTGTGCACTCTCATTTACACTCCTGCATCTGAAGCAGAGTATTTGTGCTGGTTGTGTCCACCATTTCACATGCTTTGCTCCTATTGTTGTGCTGTCGAGAGGTGCTTCTAACTGAAGCCAGTCCAATGCAACAATTGACTCCCACTGCTTCCTCCTCCCCCCTCCTCTACTTCCCACAGTCTCTCCCTCGTTGCTCCTGCACCTCTTCTCTTCATCCTCGTCCCTTACCCCTCCCCCCTGCATTCCTGTTCTTCTCAAACCCAACTTCCACCCACCCATCACCTCATGTAACACTATTATTCTCATTTATTCTGATTTTACTTACACTTCTGTGTGATTAACACCTGCCTACAATGTAAACCTCCCGTTCCTTTTTTCCCGTTCCCCTGCAGCGATCTCTCTCACAACTACCTCACAGGCCCCCTGGTGAAACTCCCGCCACTCCTTCCAGCGGACCTGTCCGACAACTACCTGTCGGGTGTTGTGTCCGCACCAAACTGCCAGCGACACATCATCGCTGCCAACTGCTTTGCACCAAGCAAAGCCTGCAGTCCTGAGTTGCAGCGACCCGCAGCACAGTGCATGGCATTCTGTGGCATCTCTCCAACCACTGCTGCCTGTGGTGGTCGTGGCGTGTGCTACCCAGACGGGCCCAGCTTGGTGCCAACGTGCTCGTGTGGTGCAGGATCAGTGCGGTACGGACGAGGCGACTGTGTTCTGCCACCAGGTAAGGAATACCTGTAGTACCTTCTTGCGATTTACTTGAGACTATTAAAAACTTATTTCCTTTTTACTAGAGCTGGCTCTGGTGCATTGGTTCGAATTTTCCTCAACACTTGGTTGAAAGCTAGCAACAAAAACAGAGTGGAAAACCTCAGCAAAAACGTGAAAATACATGACTATAGTGAATGTACCGCCAAACCGAACCAAAACAGGTGGGGCCGAGTTGAGCTTCAAAGACTTTGACTCCAAGCGGTAGCAGTTTGACCACATATAGCAAACCTCAAACTCCTGGTTCCACATGTTCGGTTCGGTTCGGGTAACTGCCCAGTCGTTACTCGGTTCGAGTTCAATTGCTTCTGAGGTCAGACTTGCAATATAGTCACTGGTTGAACGGACGAAACACTTTTGTGCACCATTCCTTGCCCTTCATAACCCTTTCCTCTCCTTATCGTCTTTGCTGCAATCTTTCCGACATTAACTTCAGTAGGTAAGCTTCATCTATTACAAGTGCAACATACACAGAGAGCAGCATATGCTCCTGATTGGCTTAGCAACCACCACCAAAGATTCGTCACTACCTCCTTTGCCCGCTTAACACTGACCACATGATATGTCCTGCTGCACCTCCCTTGCAACTCTGCAGGGCCCACGGTGAACATCCTCCCGCCATTCGCGTTTCTCACCAAGGGCACGAAGAAGGAGACAATGGGGAAGTTCATGGCGAAGCCAATGACCCTGTTTCATTACCAGCGTGGTGTTACCTCGGGATGTGGCTTGGGGTTGGCGTTCAGAGTCAACTTCACCTTCTCTCTCATGCCCCAGTTTGGTACTGCTGGGTCCAATGGCTTTGCACTTGTCATAGCAGCAAAGCCCAAGGTGGGGAAGCCTGCTGGTGTGGGGTACAGTGGATTGGGACTTCGGAGCATAGCCGTTGTCTTTGACACGCTTCCGAATGATGTGGGCGAGCAGCACGTGGGGCTGTGCATCAACGGCACAGAGGAGTGTTTGGTCAAGGAGGTGTCTCCATTCACACTGACCGATGGCGACTCATACAAGGTGTGGGTGGACTATGAGCCTGGGGATCCCGGCACCATTCAAGTGTTCCTGGCCAGTTCGAATACAAAGCCAGACGAGCCACTGCTGCTGGGGAGGGTGTCGCTGTGTGCGGTCCTGCAGCCGGGAGTGAAGCAGCCGGCATTCTCGTTTGGGTTCGTTGCGTCCACCACTGTGAATCCCTTCCAGCGGCTAGGCATTCTCTCCTCCACCGTGCAAACAGGCAAGCATATGTTTCAGGGGTGATGCATGGGAATCATGGCCACGACTAATTGAGTGAGAAAAGCGTGAAGAAAAGGTGGTGGGGGTGGTAGCTCTGGTGTTCTGCCATTGATTTTGAGTTGAACATTACAGGATAGGGCAACCACATTGGCGTTGTCAGTGTGTCATGATAGACTGGGATGTTGTGCATTGTAGATAATGACTGGCAGTGGCTAATGAGAATGATCCTGCCATTGCTACCTCTTTATGAGGTGCTCTTTGTGTGATTAACGAGTCAACCACCACCTGATGGCTGCTCTTATGACTGCTGAATCTCCCTGCAGGCATTCCTAAGGTCAAGGCCGTCCTGTTCAAAGATCAAGGTGAGCTCCCTGCCACGTGGCAGCTACAGGAGGTGCACCTCGCTTCCGTTGTCTGACATCGATAAGTTTTTAGTTATCTAGTCTGGCAATGCCATCCTGGTCCGATGCTAGAGGCAGCAAGAAACAAGCACAACCACCACCGCATGATCTAACTAGCTATTACTGTGGGTCACTAGGGGAGACCGACGGAGGCTGTGAAAAGTAGTAGAGGGTGCTTGATGGTAGAACGTTGCTCGATGCCGGTGTCCCAGGTGCAGGGGTCATCCAGTCTCTCAAATTGATTCGTGGCTCAGCCAGTACTGTGGCATCCAATCCAGAGATGCGACATGCGTGTTCCCAACTACTCTTCACCCATATTCCCTTTTTTTCTAACATATTTCGCCCCTCACAGCCCTTGGCCTCTCGCTATCGGAGGACACATTTGCACCGTCTCGAGGCAGCCCCTTTTCGCGCTACGTGAGTTCGGATTTCGAGCTCTCGGCCACCAAGAAGGACGCGTGGAGGCTTCGTGACTTCCACACGTGGGACTCTGTGGATTTCCTTGGCTGGCCTGTCAAGAACCAGCGAGACTGCAGTAAGTGGGAAGAGGATCGTGGGTTTCCAGTTCAGATTCTTGCACGAATTTTCTGTTCCGCTGCACTTCCGACGTTTTGCCGACTAGTTTTGGCGGCAAGCTGTACATGATAGGCTGGCATGCGATGTGCAACTGATAGAAATGAAAAACTGTAGGAACAGACCGATGTGAACATGGTATGTGCCATCAGAGACTTCTCCACACTCCTTGCATGGCTCACCTTGCTTCACCTTCGCCTTCCTCTCAGATGCGTGCTGGGCATATGCGGGTGGTGGCGAGTGTGGAGGCGGCATACGGCATTGCAAAGCAGCAGAGCGCCCCTCAACTGTCAGTGGAGGCGCTCTTCGCCCTCATGGGGCTCTCCGACTCCGACAAGTGCTCCGCTGGCGGCTCCCCCACGCAGGCCCTTGAGAAGCTTGTGGCTCTCGATGCCTCCAGTGGGCTCACAGGGGACAGTGACCCGGTAGGGCAAACAGAATTAGCCGTGAGATATAGGCATGAAGCTGTACTCGCGCCAGTAATCGCGTTGGCGATATGAGAGCCGTTTGCTATTCATGACTCAACACTGTTTGCTTTTCGTAGGTTATTCTAGCTTGTAACAGAAGTGTCTTTTTCAGGAAACGAGGCCATTTTTCCCAGAGTAACCAAACTTCTAGTGTGTTTCAAACTTTATGACAGCGATTTGTTGGAGACATGTTGGGTTTTCTTTATTCTGTCCCCTTTATTCATTCACACTCCATAACTCTCTCTCTTCTCCTCCCTCCCACCCTCTACTACCCCATTCCCAATGCAAATCTCCTGGCCCATCCCAGGCAACAACGTACCCGGTGCAGTCGTTCGAGCGAGCGCGGTTCAAGGGGTATGTGGGGCTCATGATGGCAGTGCAGAACCAGCCAGTGGTGGTTCACATCCAGGCGTCTGCTGCCACGTTCGTGATGTATGATGGGGTGAGTGAACCACTTCAGCCCTCATTCAGCATACCGTCGTGCTTTCACCTTGTGAATGGCCACCCAGAATTTAATTGAAAAAACTCAGGAATATACAGAGCTAATCTCTCCTTGAACGTCCACTTTGACTCTGGCAAAAGAACTCGTGCTTTTTGCCTTTTCTGTGGTTGGTTCTACCCCATGCCACATCAGACATACAAATACCAGGATCCTGATTGCTATACAGGAAGTCTCAACCATGTTGTACTCGTTATTGGGTACTTCATTACGAGAAATGACGGCAGCCAGAACCGCATTGCTCCTCCGTTTTGGATTATTCGCAACTCGTGGGGAGAGGAGTGGGGCGACAAGGGTCACATACGCATGGACATTCAGGGAGGGGATGGCGTGTGTGGCATCAACGTGCTGCCTGGCATCTACCCCGTTGTCAAGAGTGAGGCATTACCCCGGTAGTTGTATTGATTGTGATGGATGGTGGAAATGAGAAAAACAGGAAGAAATATTAGATTGCTCGAAGAGATAGAAAGCATGTGTTTCCCCTGGTTGAACCAAACATAACTGCTCCAACCTGTGAAGCGTTTTTGCAGTTGGAGCATACACAAACCGAATTGCAACTCGGTTTTTGCTTGTGTCTACAGATAGTTTTGAACCATACTGAGCCCCTGTTTTGTGTGACTCAAACATGCTTGGATCAAACTGACGGAGAGTGATATTTGCCCAATTCCATCAACGTGTTTCAAGTGTATCTTCTCCTCTCCATCATTTCCCAGTTCCAGGGGACCCCTGTGGTCAAAGCAGCTACCAGGGAGATCGGCCGCAGCCCGTTATGAATCCGTGTGGCCGATTCAAATGTGGCGTGACAGCAGAGAGCACGAATAACTGCACCTGCAACATTCCCACCGCTACTGTGCAGCCTTTTGTACAGGTGGTGAATGGAGATGGCTTCACCACATGTGCTTATGGTATGTCCAGTTGCAAGTAGAGCAATGAGGTTGCACTACTGATACCACACTATGCTTGGCCTAGCCTGTGTGGCAATGAACGCCTCCACACTTTCGAGCATTTTCAAAATGAATGTGATAAGTAGTGCAGGCCAGCAGGTATGATCGCCATGTGAATCTCAGGTCAACTTATTATGTGAACATGGTGAGCAATGCTGACGCAGCAGCACTAGCCAATGCTATTCTCATCATCATCAAGGACAGTTTTGCTATTGCGTTGACCTGGTTACTTGACTCCCCTCTCTTACTCCCCATTTCACCTCTTTCGTCTCCCCCTTTCTTTCCACTCTTCACTGCAATCTCCCCTTTCGTATCTCATATTCCCGCTCTATTCTGCCCACATATCCCCTCTCTCCTCCCCATTGCCCCATTTTCGTGTCTGTAAGAAGCCTCAGCATTACATAATGTCAACCTTTTTTGGCGGTGCAGCAAATTTTCCTACCCTTGCTTTCGTATCTTGGGCTCTTGCATTTTCTAATGCATTCACTATTTCCAAACTTCCAACCTTTCTAAGATCCTCCTCTCAACTTCAACAAAGTTCGCACATCTACTACTTCTGCATCTCTACTCTCCTTCTCAAATCTACCCCTTATCTTGCCTCTTTCCCCATTGTCTGTTCTATCCGCCTCCCCGGTACACGTGTGGCAGTGGACGTGTGTGGGTCATACTTCAAGAACCCCTGCTACGTGGGAGCATGCATCAACGATGGCAAGGGCTCCTACTCCTGCATCTGCCCTCCCAATCACGTAGAAAGCATAACCATTTACGGGCTTCCCAACCTGCGATCCAGGTGATGCTTGAGCAGCCCAAGTAGCTGCCTCCCAGAATGTCTGTGGTCTTGATTGAGTTTTTCTGTGTGCTATACCTTCATGACGAACTTGCAGCAATAGGGTGTTGGCATTACGTTGAAGATCTTCTCTCTCTCTCTCTCTCTCTCTCTCTCTCTCTCTCTCTCTCTCTCTCTCTCTCTCTCTCTCCTCTCTCTCTCTCTCTCTCTCTTCCCTTTCTTGCCTGCATCTCACTCCCCATTCTTGCCTGCAGTTAATACCACAGCCACCACAATGACAGTCACTGGAGACAACTGGTTGTGTTCGGATGTTCATCCACTTGTTGACCTCTCACTCACTGACTTCACTGACCAAAACGCGGTGGGTGAAGATGAGGTGACTTATACAAACCATCATTCATATTTCTATATCAGGTTGTTTTTACATCACTTCATCCGTTGGATCTTGCTTCAACGTACCCCTGAGTTCTCTCTGCACTGCCGGTTGGTTCCCAGCAGCATGTCCTCTGTTTAGAGTATATATCCTCCTTTCACCCTTGCAGGGTCCTGTTTTAACTCGATGAGACGTTCTTTCATTCTCCTATCATTGACGTAACACTTTCAACCATCATTGACAGGGTTTTTTTTTTTGTTTTTTCCCTTTTCTTCTTTCTCGCTATGAGGTACTTTGGTATGAGAGCCTTACTTTCCTGCACCCGGTATGGAGAGGAAGACTGGCCTTTGTCGAGTTTAGTACAAACCTCTCATTCATGCATGTGTTTCCGAATGCAGGGCATCGACTGCAGCCAGCCATTGCTCAAGGGCAGGTCCTTCAGCTGGCTAATACTCCCGACACACCCTGCACTGCCTTCTTCTACACCCTTAATGTGAGACCTCTTCCTTCTTTCCCCAGTCAAAACTATGCACACAACCAGCTGGCATAGTCATCTCAACACATAGCATCATTTCTCACTAAGCCACATTGCATTATGTCACTGATCATGGAGCAAGCAACAACCCATCAACATCCCTGCCTCTGCCCAACTCTCCAGGGGGGACACCTGTGCATCCATGAGCAGGCAGCTCAACTTCACTGAAGCTGATCTCGCTGATCTCAACCCCGGACTTGACTGCTCCAAGCCCATCAAGGCGGGCCGCTCTGTGTGCCTCGAGCGCCAGTGATGCCTTCGCCTTCACCGTCCCTGAGTGTGTGAGATACGGCACGCTCACTCCGCAAGACACGTGCGAGAAGCTGCTTAAGAGGACCAGCACGAGTGTCCCCCCTTCGGGTGGCACTACACAAGGGGGTGCCAGTGAGAACCCATGGGCTGCGCTGTACGCAACAATCCCGGCCTCACTTGCTCCAACACCATCCCTTCCTCTGCCTACGCGACAGGCAGCAGGATTGGCGTACAGGTGAGGGCTGTGAGTATGAGGAGAGGGTGTGCGGAAGGTGGTGAAAATGGGGGTTTTGGAAAGGGGGGAGGAAAGAATCAAAGATGGGAGAGCAATAACAGGAATAGATCTTCTGTGCACTCAACCACAAGGAGCTATCATTACAGAATGCTTGCTTCCACTTCATGCAAAGATTCGCCGAGCACACGTTGCCCTTGCCTCTGTCTTGCGTTCCTTGTCAGAATATCCCTTTCATGTTTTGTGTCTTCCTACATGCTAACACTTTCATGCACATTCGTTACATACATCTTGCGATCCCAGATCTGCCTCAGCGCAGAGTATTGGTCATTCCAGTTAGGTTTGTGCAACAAGGGGAGGGCCAAGCGAGTTGCACCAACGTTGACATGTTCAGGTGCTTACCGCTTTTATGGTGGAGGAGCTGCTGCTAGTGCGGCGTTTGCAGACTACAACGGTAACGCTTGTGCTGGAACAGTAGGAGGAAAGGTTATTTGTGTGCCGTGATATGATTTACTCTAGTTCTTTAAATTTATCATTAGAATGTGTGAAACATGGAGTTTTCAAAACTGTGTATCGTAAAAGCGGAGATGTTTGTTCTGCTGATTCAGCCATTTCGTCTCCTACAGCTCCTTTAGTGGCCGCCACCCCCACCCAGCCTCTGTTGCCCCTGCTATTGTTGCACTTGATGCCCCACAATCACGCACCCTATCCTCACTGGAACCCGCCATGCAACCCTAGGTCATCCTTCATCCTCATTCTCCTGATGTGACTCCTCTTCACTCCCTCCTACACCGCCTCCTCCTCGCACCACATCCTCGCTGTCCTACCCTCTCTAAAATTGAACCTGCGGTGGCACCTGCCCCCAGCACTGCAACAAGCAGGGAAGCACGTTTCTTGTGGGGGGGGGGGGGGGAGGGGCAAGACGGGTGGGGATGGTGGGACAGATGGACAGGTGGTAAAAGCCATACATGACAGCGAGCTTGTGTAGCTTATGATCGTTCTGGTCTGGCTGCATACCATCAACAAAGACATTTATCATGAAGACCATAACTGGATCGTTGGACTGCCACTAGGTATTGTCTGACAGCAGTGTTTGTGTTGCCGTTCTCGTGATCCTTCAGAGTTTGCATATCACTCAATCATGAACCTGCCTCCAGAGCAGATCCTCAACACAGTGACCCCCCTCTCTGTCAGAATCCCAGTCACTAACCACTGGGATAAAAGGGCTTGTTTGCGTAGCGGGTGAGTGCGCCCATAACCCCCCAGGCCAACGTACCTGTAACCCTTCCCTAGGATTGATCAGGAATCTCCAGGGGACCTCTGACACTCTTCCATACCTAAACGCCGCCTCCACCGGCCATCAACACCCTCTCCCAACTCGAAGCGGACCTGACTGCCGAGGCTCAGGAGGCCCTCCTCCAGTTCAGGTCACACCCAGTGAGGGTAATCTGCATGCCCTACTCTCCCAAAACATCCACCAGGCCAGAGGCACGGAGTTTGTTAGCTGATACACAGCTGGACAAGTCAATGACTGACAACAGGCATGCACTGCGCCTAATCAGCCTAAAGGCAGCAGGGGTGGTCGACTGGCTATATGCGTCCCCACGAGAGCTGACCTCCTCAACCTCCTCGGGCCAGTTCTCCATGGCCCTCAGCTTCGGCTCGAACACGAATCTCGCCGTCATTGACGTCTGCCATTGCAAACGCACAGGCTCGACCAACACCAATCCAAGCCTCCCAAACCACCTCCGTTGTGGCAACTGCGGGGATGTGGTCAGGACCCACAGCGCTCTAGTATATGCAAATTTGCAGATGGTTTGGGAGGCGGGATGCATCACCTATCATGAGACCTCCCTATCCTCACCCCATTCAACCGTAAGAGGGCGGGCGGATCTAGCAAGTAGAGACCCAAAGTTTAGAGAAACATGGGTCACTGACAATATAGTAAACCAGGCCAGTGCTGTAGAGAGAAAGGGCCCCAAGGACTTGGTCTCTGGTCTCATCAAGCAGCGCAGAGGAACATCACGAGGGCAATGAGAACATCACGTGATGTTCCTCTGCACTACTTGATGAGGCCTGTCTACATACTTGGGCCAATGAGAACTGACCAGGGGAAATGGAGAGGGTCACCTCTCGTCGGCACTGCATGAAGCCAGTCGCCTGCTCCGCTCCCTTTTAAACTAATCAAGCGGAGCGTGTGGCCTTTGTTGGTTCCAGGCCTGTCCACTACCGTAGACCAGGGTATGTAGACAGGCCTCATCAAGCACCGCAGA